GAGAGAATAACAACAAGGCAGACGAAAAATAGAGTACCAGCAAGAGAACAAAACAATTTTGTTCTAATGCCGTAATTAATAAGACAGATAGTTTCTCTGATGATTGACTATTCTCGAAAAATAACTATAGTCTGAGAGATATGTTTCACTTTACTTATCTTGTATTAGTATAATGAAGATAAAGAATACATATGAGTTCCATATTTTCGCTCTAAAGAAGCTGTGATAACAAGTTTTCTTTAAGCGTCTTCACACATCGTTTATAGCAAAAAAGTAGCTGGTTTTGATGAGTTTGTGAAACACAAGCTAAAAGAAGTGTTGAAGTATATCGATAGAAAATTTGAAGTTCTCAAAGATGTAACAAATGTTGTTGATATATGATTATAGATCACATATCAATAACGTCTCATTATAACGGATGGGGCAAAAGTTTTGCATTAATTTTGTTTTTGATATAACTCTGGAACGCAATGTCGTAGAGACTTCATTTTTTGTTTGTTAGAAAGAGCAAAGTGTCTGGTACAAAAATATATAAAAGAATTTGATTGAAAATGTTTTTCTAAGACCACAATGATCTTAGAACAGAAGGCGTCAGAAAACTCTTTCGCAACTTTTTTGAACTGAGAAAAAATTTCCTATAATTAGACAAATTCTCTTTTTATTCGTCTAACGCAGATTTTATAATGTAGGAATAGAGCACTATTGCTTTACAAAAAAAGAAATTTTCTACATGTTTTATAACGGTAGAAATGAAGGCTTTTATGATACCGTCTGAGTCACCAATTTTTCATCACTGTTGATAGCAGTCAAAAAAATAAACTCTATTTCGCAAGAGAGGTTGCCAGAATCTATATATTTTATATGAAAAAGAAAGCTTATTGAGTTCTCTACCAAACGATATTATTTGGAATTGGACACAACTTCGCTGTGAGATATTCAGACAAGAACTTGTTTTCCCGATGCAAAACCAAATTCGAACATATAATTTTTTTTAATCAAATTGTCTTTTGTTCATTTTCTTGTATGTTATACCAATTATTTTAATACCAAATGAAAGCCTTCGTTGTATTGAACAACTGTATATATATGGTGCTCAAAAACGTCGAAAGTGGGTAATGAAAAAGTTCAAACAAATATTTTTGGATAAAAAAAATTTGACCAAAGTTGCGGAAAAATTTTTTCAAGCCTTGTGTTCTAAGATTATTGTAGCGTTCGAAAAACATTTCCAATCAAATTCTTTTATATATTTTTGTACTAGACACTTTGCTCTTACTTACAAAACAAACAATCAAGTCTCTACGACATTCCATCACAGGGTTATATCAAAAACAAGATTAATGCAAAACTTTTGCCCCACCCGTTAATATATAAATTATTTCATTGAAACATTTCTTCAGGTCTAAAAGTACAAGAATAGTAAAGAAATATGTCTCAAACAGATAAAATAAAGCAACATTTCTGTGATTAGTAGCAGCAATTTCATCCATGTCTCATATTTTAATTCTGAAGGGATTACATTAATAGCTCTTCTGAATAAATGTGAAAATATTTCAATGAGAATCATGATTAGGACGTTTAAACATCTTTTTCAAAAAAATTTTTCTGCTTTGAATAGCATCTTTTATGAATAACACTATTTCAATATCATGTTTTGATGAAAATTCTTAGACGATTATCACCTCCAACATCATATATTTCATGGCGTATTCTTTTTGAAACTCAACAACAAAATCCATTTCGTTCAAAATCAACACTTGGTTGGTATCCACTTGGTGCAATGTTTAATCATTCTTGTTTACCAAACTGTTTATGGTATCTTATTGGTGATTATCTATTTATATATGTTTGTTCATCAAATATTCAACAAGGTGACGAATTAACTATATCTTATTGTCCATTATGGATATCATCATTAAATGAACGTACATCTCAATTACGTCAATTTGGTATTACATCTTGTCGATGTTTACTTTGTTCATATGATCGATCTAATATGCCACAATATGAAATTGAATTAAAAAAATTTTCTAATTTACGTGCATTATCAAGACAAAAAAATCTTTCATTTTCAAAACGTTTTAATTATGTAGAAAAATTAAAACATATTTATGAATTTATAACAAAAAAATTTCGACAACGTTCAATTGGTTTTATAAATGAATTTATTGATTTAGAAAATATTTCAAAATATATTCAACATGAATATAATGAAAATAATAATGATAATATTAATATTAATGAAATTCAAACATTTTTCGATGAACAACAATTATCATTTCTTCAACGTTTATCACGTGTTTGTCGTTTAACAGTAAAAGATTTACCTAAAATTGGTAATCCAATTTTCTTATTTGGAACACAGTTACAAGTATGTTCTCTATAATTTTATTTTCTTTGATAAATAAGAAAATTAATATTTCAATAAAAAATTTCATATGAATAAATTATTTTTATACTTTTAGTTACTTGTTCATTATCTTGAAAATTGTCATACACGTGTACATACCTGTGATTTAAAACAATGGAATCGTTTACTTGAATGTCTTTATGAAATATTTACATTTAAATGTCACGTATCATCGAGTAATATGCAAAAAATATTGAATGATCATGAACAATTATTTATGAATCTTCTACAAACACAAACATTTTTACAAGATTCATCTACTTAAAAATAAAACATTATCTATGTAATGTGAAAAATTTTGTGTAACAGTAATTCATTTTGTTTGTTAATATCTATTTGTTATGTTCATTGCTTATTTTGTTTTCGTTTTGAGTTGATCGTACAGTACTATAGATATATTCATATGTGTATTATATTGTAAATGAAACCAAAGAAAAAAAACAAAAAGGACTATATTTGCTACGTTTTTTTTTTCATTTTGTTTATTTTCTTGTATAGAACAGGTTGTTTCCGGGTTGAACAGCGAGTAGGTATTTTTGTTTTTTACTTAATTCAGCAGAAAAAGAAAAATAAATAACTTCAATTCAATACTTCGACTAGTATTCTTCTTGATATGAAAAATATTTTGTTAGCAAAATTAATCAAACAATATTAACAAAGATAAATCCATTGCAAGTTATATCTAATCAACTGAAAGGATAAAATTTATTTTCAATCGATGATAATGAATTTTCTCATAGGCACTGATTAAGGAGGTGAACTATTTAGATAATACAAAATGATGCTTGTACTATTTATGCAATTGAATATGTGTATTCACTCAAGTCAATGACCTCTGATGTGTAGAACCGTGATTATTCGTCCGAAAGACTTCGGTAGGTTGTAGGAAGTTGGATGGTCGTGTTTGATGATTGACGCTGCTCGATTATGATCGTTTGCAGGTGGAAGCAGAAAAACTCGACCACTGAATACGGATATCATATCACTGCTTATATCTTCCTACAATTTTGGCAATCTTTCGAGTAGAATCGACTGTAGATTAATGTCCTGAGCGATTACAACTTTTCGCAATTGGACTCCGTAGTTGCATCCGGTATCTGATTGGAGCTAATTGACATTTGGTAGATACTTTTACAGTTATAGTACGATTCTCCAACTTTTATTTTACCTGAAAAAGTATATTATTTATTTTCTTTCACAAAATGCAACAAACAAAAAAAGATCATTTCAAATTTCGCAAAAAAAAAATCAAATGATTGAGGACTTATTTAATGTCTTTCTGCTTTTAAAATTCGATTAATTTCACTACCTATACGTTTGCTTGGTGCTGATAATGTTGGAATGAAACACAATGCTAGTGCCAAACGTCGTAATTGTAGATGCATACATGAATGTTTTTTTTCATCATGGCAATACATGATCACCTTTTTAATAATTCTGTTTCCTCTCTGTATATTCCGTTACTTCGTCGCATGGTTTATTATTATCTGTAGATAAATTTTCATCAAAAATGAATTGTTTTAGTAAAACAGAATTGCTTTCCACTATTGTAACCTAATTCTCAAGTATAATAAATTGTTGAATCATGATCGAAATGGTTGACACTTCTATGTTTTTATATAAGTTAGCAGTGTGAAAAAGTAAAAATATTTTAAGCACCAAGATTACATTAAGTGTCAGGTCGGGTTTGTGTATGAGTCTATGCACAAGACCTGAGCCAACATTTTTTCATGCCAGGCACTCAACCCGGTTGCATGACACTACCTTACATCATTCATCTCGACATACATTTGACTGTTATAATTCTTGGTATCATTTGTAAATCATGATTTATAAATTCCTTTATTTTGAACAAAATGATGGGTCACTTTTTTAGAAACCGAACTATCATAGTTCATCTATGAAATCTTGTTGTAGAATCTATGAGCTAAAATATTCAACTGGTTATGAAAATCATTATTTGAATTTGAGCTAGTTGCTTTATATCATTAAAAAAACATAAAAATTACGCCATTGCTAAATTTTTTTCCATTACCTTTTATACATCTTTTTATTTAGCGATCATTCTCTATGAAACAATTAACACATGATCCTTTTGTTTTTATTGAGATAATAGATTTAAAAAGTTCGAAATTTCTCTCTTCAGATATTTGATATCAGCAATTTAAATCTTACGACTTAACTGAATTTTCGAAATTCTGTTCGTTGTAATCAGAGAAAAAAAAACATTAAGGAAAAAAAATTTTCAGTTTAAGCTTAAATAAGAAAACGTTATTATAACATATCATTTCTCTCATTTTCGTCTATGTCAACAATGATTATAACGAGATATTCTATCACGTGACTTCAATGTTTGTCGTTCAGTGACTGTCTAATCAGACGGAGGAGCTAAAATAAATTTCTTTGGAATTTATAATAGTATTAATTTATACACACGGAATCTTTCATAGTTTTTTTTTCTCTGTATAAATAGTCGTGTATTCATCGTCATTTCTTTAATTACAATCCACAAAATTCTTACGATTATCTTTCACATTTCTTCATAACAATCTTCTATTTGGTTTTTGACTCTTCATTTATCATTTCTAATATGATGTCATCAATGAAAAATAATAATGATACAAATGTATCATCAAGTCAAAATCAACAATCGAGTAGTACTGGACAAAGTAATAATAGTCAACAACAATCTCAGAATTCAAATACTACGAAGGAAGAAAAAAATAATAGTCAACGTGTCGGTGGTAATAGATCAACTTCCAAACCTCTACGACGTACACAACGAGCTGTAAGTCATATCTGTAATTATTTTTGACTTTTAACAATCAACTTTCTAGGGATTGGTTTTTCCTGTTCATCGAATTCATCGTCGTTTACAAGAAGTCAATTATCCTACGCAAATTCGTGATGGTACTGCTGTATATATGGCTGGTGTACTTGAATATTTAGTAAGTTTATTATCATGAATTTTTGTATTTTTATTTTTGCATTCTAGGTTGCTGAAGTTGTTGAATTAGCAGGTAATGATGCTCGAGATAATAAACGACGACGTATTACACCTCGTCATATTTTTTTGGCTGTTCATAATGATGAAGAATTGGTAAAATAATCATTCTTGTATTTTCTTGTTTATTAGGAATCTATTATTTACTTTAGAATAAATTATGTGAAAATGTTACTATTGCTTCTGGTGGTGTTATGCCTAAACTTCATGAAGTTTGTTGAATATTTTTTATTTTCTATAGAAATTTTTTTTTGTTTTTTATTGTAAGGTATTACTTCAATCGAAGAACAGTCGTTCCAGTTTGAATGGTAGAAAATCAAATAATAAATCGAATTCAAAAAAACAAGGCAATACAAGTGTTAGCGATGGTAAAAAAAAAATTTTCTTTATTAATTTTTAACTATGTCATTGTTATTAATATATTTTAGGCGATACGACAGTTAACAGTGTTGATGATAATGAAGATTCAATGGAAGAATAAATTATAGTTGTAAACTTTTATATTGTACTATTTTGTATTTATTTTTTATAACCAAGATTGTTTTGTTATTTATTTATATTTGTCTATATTGTATTTTTTTTTATTTTTATAATCTTGATGAAAACATAAATATAATTACAAACGAAAATTGAACAGACAATTAAAAAAAAGAAATTATTTTATTTTTTTTTTGTGATTAATTATTCGCTGTATGATGTAATTTATCAGCATAGATATATTTAAGTGTTGTCCACATTCTATGATAATCAGAATATGAATTCTGTCCTATATGACGACCAGTCGAACATATAATAAGTGGTGGAGTAGATGGTAATGGATTTATTGTATTACTTTGTCGAATTAATTTCATGCATTCATTAGTTGTACCTTGATGATAAGTAAATGGAAGAATTTCACAGAAAAAATTAAGATTTTCAGGTAAAATGCCAGTTATAAATATATCGGAAAAACGAAATGGACGTTTGACTTTAAAACCTTCCATTGTAAGTAAATCTCTTGTTTTAGAATTCATGAGATAACCAAAACCTTAAATCAAGAAAAAAGAAAAAATCATAATATATAAAAATTATTATAAAGAAAAAAAAACAAACCAGAACAATAACGTGGATATAATTCTTTTGGATATTCTTCATATGTAACATAATATTGTGAAATAGTAAGATTTCGTTCTGGTCGACCTGGTTGATATGCCCAACCAAAAAGAAATTTATTTTCATTAGAAGATGTTTGAGCAAGAAAAAGTGAATTCAATGAAATATTATATAAATATCGATTTTGAATATTATTTGGATCAGTCTTAAGTTCTCGTATAAGTTCATGTATAAGAAGAGAATTTACAAAAAGATCATCTTCTGCTTTAAATATATATTTTACAGTAGAACAATGTTGTTGTAACCAACGATAAGCATGTAATTCTTTAAGTGTGACTGAAGAATCATCAACAGTTAAATAAAGTAAATCTTGTTCATGTGCAGCTTCCTTTACTAAATCTTTATAAAAATTACCACCAGATTGATAACCAATAACAAAAAGACGTTGTGAATGTACATCGAACATATCAGACATTGATCCCCATGTTTCACGTATTGATTGTCGTTCAAGAAAACGTGAACTTGACGAAACAATTAGAAATACAAGATCGACTTCATCTATCGAACATATTTGTTTATTTTCTAATATAGGTGATGATGTAAGAATAGCATTTTTATAAGCTAATTCTTCAGCTGGATCACGTTGATATCCAAAAATACGATTGGATGAAGCGAAAATATACCATCCGCAATAGAACAAAAGTAAAAAACTCAAAAGAAGGCATACACGATCACTACAATTTCGTCGTGTTAGAACATATCTTTGTTGATGACTAATTGGTGATAAGAATAGATCATGATGAAAAATTCGTTGATAGAAAGTTCTCTGAGCAGGCATAATAATCTTACTGATGTATGTATGTTCTCCTGCTAGAAGCAAAAATGCATGTGCAAATAGAAGTTAGGCTCTGCAAAGAGAAACAAAGTAAATTTTTATGTAGGCATTTTTTATTCTTTGATTGTTCGAGTGTCTTCGCGAAAGAAATGATTTGACACATGGCAGAGTTGTTCAAATTTTTGTTTATCTTATTTTCTTTTTTTATTTCATTGAATAATTGTAATTAATCTTGCTTACTGTATATTTCAATTAAAAATTTCTTTTTAATTCGTATCTTGAATTTTTATTTCATGATGATATAACAACCAATATTTTATATCCATTTATAATGTTTTCTTTTTGACTCATTCATTACTCTAGTAAAAAGAAAAAAAAAAAAGAACAGAACATACATGCTTACGAAATTGTTATGGCTTGATTCTTTCGTTTTTGCTTTGAGCGACTAGCAAACATATATCTATATACATTTATAATCATATGTTGAATGCCTTCTTTTCTCTTAGAATCTATCTTTTCTATCGAAAACTGTTGTTCGTATTCTTAAAAAAATTATATTTATCTTTGATTTTCAACGAGTCAATGATTGTCATCATGACGAATAGTGCATTATAAATGATCAGTATTTGCGTACGTTGTCAATAATTTTAAAAACAAGTCATTTATAAAAGAAATAGAACAAAATGAACTTTATAATATTCAAACAAAAGCAATGATATATATTTATGTATGCATTCATTTTACTTTTGAAACAGACAAAATTCTGAATAATTGATTGTTGAAACAATGAACAACACCATGTTTTTTTGTTGTATAGTGAATTTCTTTGTTTGCCTTCTCTAATTATGTAACTGATTCATTTCATGTGTCCTGCATTACACTTGTTGATCGATGAAGTCATTACCTAAGAAACCAATAAACTTTCGATTTTTTATAACTATGCAATTTATTGTTCACCTGAAGGCACGAAGTTATTTGCTTGGTTTCCTTTCATTATATTGAATCTTATGAAGCAATCCTCTTTTCTTCTATCTGTCTTATACAATATTTTGTTTAGACAATATATGGTTTGTCAATAGATCATACAAATGGAATTTTGTCTATTTTTCTTAAATAAACTTGCTCACAGTACGATTTCACATATAGAAAAGACATTGCATAGTTTATAAACAATATCATTCTGTCATTGATTGTTAGAAATACAATTTTTCAAAATGTTTCAAATTTCATATTCCTGAAAGATCGATAGAAATTTGTTGTCTGTAATATTAAACTTGTGCATAGTGTTAATATGTTATATCAATGAAAATGAAAAAAAGAATTAATGAAACATTGTTTTTTATTTGATTCCAATATTGACGAATTCGTTATTTATTAATCGTTGGCAACTTGAAATAGGTAGTTCTTATTTCCAAGAAATTCAAATGAAACGACTATGAGAAACATTTCACCACAGATATTTATTTCTCTGTTTTGAAAGATTAGTGCAGAAAAATAATTTTACTAAAAAAAAAAAGAATATAGTAATGAAGTGTATACTTCTGTAGTTGGGTTGAGTCAGAAAATTCATCTTATTAGTGTTAATTATTCGCAAATGCTTCATTGAGTAATATGAATATTAGCATTCATGACTAGCGCAATTGAGTAGTTGTTTTAACTTTTCTTTGACTTGTAAAATATATTTAAGATAAAACGTTAGTTAGATTACAATTATATCAACTACATCCTATATACGTTTCATGATAAAATAAATTTCCAAGCACTACCCAGTGTTAAACTAGAAGTTATATACCTTTAATCGAATATATAAAAAGAAATTTTAGCTACTAATCATTGACATTTAATTTGGACTATTGCAACAGTGTTCTGTAGTTTTTATCAATCATCGGATAATAATTTTTAGACGTTTGAATTTCCTTGATATTGGAATTTATCATGACCTTCGAGACCAATGTATCCTTCTTACACTATTTAAGTAAAATTTTATTATTTAGAATAGCGAACAAGAAACTATTTGTTCAACACTATCTAAGATTCAGAAGTGTATATTATTTCTGACTAATTCATGACAATGTTTCTGAGTCAAAGTAAAAAAAAGAACAGATCAAAATAGTCAAACAAAACCTAGAATACCATATAATCAAGCGTAAAACTTACGAGGAAACTTCTTCAAATGTTTTCTTCCAATTTCAATGATGTTTCTATCTATAGATACCAAAACTCTAAAACGATTATGATTCATGTTGAAATTTGATTAAGCTATCAAATTTTTAAAATATGTCTATTTTCTAGAGATCGCAGGTTTTGGAAACACTCGTATTTTTGAATTTTGATTTGAATTCTGGTGCACTTAGAGAACTTAACCAGACTAGCTTCGATAGAAGAATTCAAAAGTTTTGAATAAAATCTCTTCGAGATATGAGACTTTCAAAGTATAGACTCTTGTCCATAAATAGTGCATACGATATGCATTTTTTGAAAACTTCATATCTCGAAGAAACTGTTTTGAAAAATTCTCAATTTTTTTAAGTAAGCTAATCTAGTTGAGTTCTTGATATATGTGAAGTTTCAGATCAAAATTTGAAAATACGAGTTTTTTGAAAACCTGGAATTTCTAGAGAAAAATTTATATTTTCGTCAAATTTCAATAGGAACCGAAATCATTTTGGGATTTCGGTATTAGAATACTATGCAGTGTCTATAGACAAAAAAAAACATTGAGATCGGAAGAACACATCTGAAGACGTTTTTTCGTTAACAATCAGATAATCATCTGTTAGTTTCATGTCATAAATTGAGTATTTTTCTATAGAAAGTAACGATAAAGCTTTTCATATTAGATGTAATAATAATACCTGTCAGATAGAATGTACAGGATTCATTACAGATTCAATGGTTTAATCTAGAATTATATTTTCATGCATCGACTTCTTGTTCCTATAGTAATATTCGTATTCTCACGCATCAATTTTTCTACCTATAAGAGAAAAAATCTGATCAGATTTTACAATTGGATAAAGTCAGACTATAATAGAAATTACTAAAGAAAATTCTGATTATATTTCTGATTGAATCCTATTCAAGTCATCAGAAACAGATCAGAGTAACATTCATGTATGAAAAAAAAAAACAACAATATTAATAAACAATTATTAGAGAAAACAGCCTAGAGGCAAGTCCAACTCATGAACAAACACTAGATAATTTAAACAAGACAATACTAAGTTACTGAAATCGAGTATAGAACACATTATAAATAACGATAAATAAATTAATTTGTGTCCAGTGAAAAAAGAAACCAAAATTTTCAAATCATTATTGAAAATTAACTATTAACATAGCTAAATATTTCTCATTTTAATTCTCGATCAGTCTTAAGAAAAGAAAAAAAAAAAAAAAAAAACAAAATCAAGATTAACAATCAATGGATTCTGTGTATTTCAGTTTCTTTTTATCTATTTCTCCAGATAAAACAATATTCAATATAGATATTCTATATATAGACAAGTTTGTTTTTTTTCTTATGTTTTTCTCTTGTGTACCATATTGACAAGCATTCGCATTGAATTAACACTCTTCTACAGATACAATTCATTTCGGTAGAAATGATTAATTATTATAAAAGTGATTTGTATATGAAAAAAGGTTTATACATTGTTATTGTTAACAGAAGAATAATGACCTCCTCTATCTCATATCTTTAGTGGGCGGTTGATATTAATATATTCTAAACAAAAAAAGATATCTAAATAGTTTTCTCAGATTGTAACATTTACATGATCTACAGAGTTAAATGACAAAAACACTCTGAAATCAACCATAAATTATGAGAAAATTCTTCATGTTTCATCAAAATTTTCAATCTGATCAATCAATCAAGAATATTTTCTTTTTTCTAGGAATTCAGCTTCATTGATTGTACAAGCAACAATGTATGTCAATCTATCACGGATGATATCTATCAAGGATAACATAGGAAAACTACTCTTATTGTCATTTGAATATAAATCTAAAAGTATTTTCTTAATTAGACAGATTTTTTTTTAATAATAGTTTTAAATTACAATATGTATTTCTCTGTATTCTTAAGAGTATTAACTTCTATAATACATAAGCGAACAGACACGTCTTATTGATCACGATTCATAGCATCTAATATTTCACTTGAGTTATTTTTATCTTTCATATCTACCATTGAGTATGTATGCTAGTTAAGCATATAGTGATGTTAAAATAAAATAAAATAAAATTGTTATACCAAGTGATTACAGTATTATTGATTTCTACTTTTGCTTGAAAAAAAAAATTAGTAAAATAGATGATCTATCTCATATTTAATTATAGAAAGAAAGTTGCAAATCTGCAAGTCTTAATCATAAGCACAAATAACATGACACATGTAGAGGTCATATGTCCTGTTGTTCGGAAATGCTAGTGCTAATCATCTACAATACGTTTCTTTTCGCTTATATCCTTCCTTTTTTTTGCTATATATGTCCCTTCTCTTTGCAATGCATGAGAAAAATATATCTATGAAAACGTTTATAAAGGAGGTTTTGTGGTAGAATGTTGTTGTTGCATATTTTTCCTTCCTTCTTGGTAAAGATGAGTTGTGTTGTGTGTATACGAATCCGTTCGCTCTATACATTTATGCGTCGATAGTGCAAGAAATATCCACCCTAAGAAAAAAAGAAATGTATAACAGATTTGCTTTTTAGTCAACACTCTTTGGAGCTGCTTTCCTTATACATTATCTATACATATAGACAGACAAAAGTAGAAAGAGGAAATAGCATAAACGAGAACGAGAAAAAATCATGTGTTGATAAGACAAACCGAACGACCGTTCTCTACTCTCGTTTATTTGGTTTATTTGTAGTAAATCTATTTCTTTTGTTTGTTGGTTGGGTCTTTGGTTTGTCTTTTTTTCTTCTTCACAATCGTCTGAGAATATTTAACTATATAGTTTATAAAAAATGGCCACACATCACATTGAAAATGAAACTCAAAGCAATCAATATTATTTTGATGCTAACAGTAATGCTGCTTCACAAGCACACAAAACGACACAAGATTCAACGCATGGTTTACCTGTATCAGTCACCACAATAGCTAATTCAAATGAATTTACATCATATCCTGCTGGTGTTTCAGGCTTACGTGCACAACATCAACAAATACGGCCAGACCGTAATGTATATGTAGAAGGCGATCCATATCAATCACCACAACAACATCAATCTGTAGCTGGATTTAATAAAAGTGTATCTCAACAACAATATCCATCTTCTTCACCGTCTTCACATCAAGTCAAAGCTACTGTACGAACAGTAAATGTTCAAGATCAACAACAACAGCAACAAACATCACCACAAAGACAACAACAGGCTTATGCAAATTATGAACAACAAATTTCACCGCAATCATCACAAGTTTTATCTCAACATCAACAATATCCATATGAATCGCGTCAGCAAGTTGGACAACCAGCAGGTGTTTCAGGCTATTATCAAGTGCCAAGTTCTACTCAACATACACATCAAGAAATAGATCAACGAGTAGAAAGTCCATCTCGAGGTCGCGATCAACATGTACAGGTACTTGTATATTTCACTTTTTTTTTTCTTACAAAATATTGCAAGTGCAATATCAAGTACATTAATGTCCTAAAGATAAAAGTTAACGATGACAGATCAATGCTCTTTTCATCCAGTTTGACAGTATAGCTCGTTCGCTAAACTGGATATTCTCACTGCTTCATCAAGTCGAATTAGTAGGTCACTAAATGATTAGGACATTAATAAGGTTCATATTCATAAATAAATCATCTGAAATCTTTGTCTTATTTTATATTATAACAGGCTCAACAGGTACCAGTTCGAATAGTATCTACTAACTCACACCAACAATCTGAGAATAGTGGTAGTCATCAACAACAACAACCACAACAACAACAACATTCACCCCCTCAACCTTCGAAACAACCACAACAACAACAACATTCACCACCTCAACCTTCGAAACAATCACAGCACCAGCAAGAAGATCAACTTCAACAATATTATAGTCAATTGACTCCCGGTATATATATATCTTCATTTATCTATCTGTCATATTGACCTTATCTTTGACTCACACTGCGTGAGAAACCTGATGAAAAATAATATCAAGTATACAACCTTAATATATATATGTATCGAATATTTCTAGAACAATATCAACAACTGTTACGTCAACAACAAATTCAAAGACAACAACAAGAGGAACAAAAACGTCAACAACTTGCTCAACAACAATATTATATACAACAAGAACAAGAACGACAACGTACTGAACCACAACAATATCAACCAAGTCGTTCAACTCAAGAATCTCAACATTATGATGAGCATCAACAACGACGAGTTTATCAAACTTCATCGAATCAAGAACAACAATATCATCAACAAGGTCTTACGAAGAATGAGATATAAATTTCTTATTATGTTCTATTTTTTTATACTGTCACTTATAGGTCAAGATCAACATGATGCGTATCATTATCGACCTCAACAAGTTCAAACAACTGTTTCATCTAATGTCACTCAGGATTCTTATCGACAACAACAACAACAACAACAACAACAACAACAACAACATGGTTTGATACAAGAAAAGTTTTTTTTCAGATAAATAACTCATCAAATTTTTTAATTTAGGTCAACAAGTTCAATCCGATGCTTATCATGAGCAGCAACGTCAAGTTGCTGCTCAACAATCACCATCATCATCTACTTATCAACAAGAACAATATCGTTCGACAGTTGGTGTTAGTGGAGGACAACAATATCAACAAGTATCTCCAAATCAGCAACAACATGTTCGAACGGATTCGGAACGACAACGCCAAGACGAGCAAGGTATTATTTCTTTTTTTTATTCCTATATTTTATTAATCCCAAATGAAATCTAAACATAACAAAATATGTTTCCTTCGAGAGATTATCATAAATAATTTATATTTACGATAATAATACATCTAACATACATCGCGGGATGTTTTTTCTTTGTCTATGATAGATTATTATGCCGCACAATTGGCTCGTCAACAACAACAAGAACGAGAACATGCTGCTCAACGTGCTCAACAGCAACAAGAACGAGAATATGCTGCTCAAATTGAAGCTTCTCAACGTCAACAAGTTACTTCAAGAATTCAACAACAGCAATATCAAGAACCACAACAACAACAAACTATACAATCTCAACAACCTGCACAACCAGTTGGAATTCGAGTCAGTTTGTTGTTTTTGTTTTCTTATTATTAAAATTGTTTTTATTTAGGGTCTTAGGAGTAAATTTACTGGTCCAACAACAATTCCAACATATGAACCAAAACCTAAAAGTACAACAACACACCAATATTCTACTTCGACTCATACATCATCGAGTGGACCACGTCAAACAACAACAACGACTCATTCTTCAAAAACCATGTCAATGACATATTCAGCATTACCAAAATCTCAAGAACCACCTGTAAATAGTGCTGAATATTATCAAATGTTACAACACGGAAATATTAATAATACATCATCAAATGTTCAACAATCGGCTGCTCCACCACATATTCAAGGTCCTCCACCTGGTTTTGATGCATTACGTGGTCGTTTTAAAAGTGGATCCGTTTCTGAAACTATAAATCCAATACAAGAAATACGTCGACAACAACAATCGAATACAGGTAATAATAGTCTATCATCATTACGTGATCAATATATGAATCGAGCAAAAGAATCAACACAAGCTCAAGAAGAATCATTCTCACAGAGAATTCAAACTGTATCTCGATCAACTGTTACTACAGGTCAATCTTCACAAAATCAAAAACAAACATCAAGTGTAGCACATGTTTCTCAACATGACGAACCACATTTACAAAGTCAAAGTATTGATGATCAAGCAGTTTCATCTGATGCTGCTCTTGCTGAAGGTGGTTCATCATCAGGTGCATCACCTTTTGAAAATGATACTAATTTAACTGCAACTATCACTACATCAGCACCATAATCAAATTAATTTTCAATCTGTTGCTATATTAACATTACAATATTTATTTATTCTCTCCTCTCTTTTTCTTATTCACCCTAACACTTAACAGAGATCGAATATTAACGCATATATTATTAATAATGAAAAAAAGAATAACAGAATATCTGTTTATGTAAGTCTCTTTTTTTCCTAGCTCAATGATGTTATGCACTAGCACATATGCCTTTTTTTTTCTCTCTCTCTCTCTCTTTTTCTTTCCTATTTTTTTTGAACAACCCTACCGAGGTATGCATGGGTGTGTGTGTAAAACGTTCTATTAGTTATTCGTTTGCTTAAATCTTTTAAATAAATTTTAACTTTTATTCATTATTATTACAATCCATTTGGATGATGTTCAACGTTGGAATCATGGGAACTAGATATATTTTTTTCATTTTTATACATTTACTTAGACTAATACTTTTAGATAACTAACATAAAGCAAAGATAAAAAAGAGTAGATACCCACTTAAATACATAAGGGTCGATTCCAACAGAAAAACACCGAAAATCAATCAAACTTAAGAACAGTATTCTGAAACAGAAAGTTTCTAGTTCTTTTTAGTGAGCAAAAGTCAGCAGCCACAAGAAAAATTAAGAAACGTTCCGGCTTGGTATACTGTTTCCAAGTTCTATCAATTTCTGGAGTTGTCTGATTGAGCACAAGGCTTCCACGCATATTTTCAACCAGTTCTAGTAAAATCTGTTGGTTTACGGTAGGCGTAATCATCAACATGGATATGAGCGAAGTTCGGTCCGACTTCTGAAAAAAAAACCGCTACATTTTACTCAATTTTTATAAGCAACGAAACAGATTATTCTGAAACATATCTTTAGATTATATTGACATTGAAAGGAAAAGTCATCAAGCTATATGTACTCATATTGACCTATACGCACACTCTCATAGTGAAAATAGGTCACAATCATACTAATCGTAAAAATCGGTTTTTTGAGTAAATTTTTTTTAAATGCTTAATTCTCTTTTCATTTTAGAACGATAAGAATTTTGTCAAATATTTTCAAAAGACACTCAATAGTCTCTCGTAATTAAAACTTGAACCGGATATGCACTTCGTTTCAAAATCTAAATTCAATGTATATGTAAAACAAAGACCTGTTTCAAACCTTTAACAATTTTCTTCACTGAAATATATTTTTCTTATTAGATATGACAAGATGATATTTATTACTGTATAACTTTCGTATTATATTGAGAGTGTACTTTGCAAAGGTTAAATATGCTATCAATAAGCATAGTGATGTTCTAATTCTGATATATGTATATTCCCTGAAGGGAACCCCCTCTTTCGAACTATTTTTAGTTCTCAGCGAGAGTACAACCGATCGAGCTCACATTTTTACCATAACTAGATTATCAAAAATGATGAAACTAATATACGAGGAAAAAACTTTAAAAGCAGATCGTTAGAAATTTTTGAAAAGATCTCCAAAAACCATCGAACTTATGTTCGATTCCGGTCGTAACTTAGCCGATCAGGCTGAAATTTTGACCATAGATACTTCGAAGTATTCTCCAGAAATAAAATCGGTGACTTTCGCTTCTGACTTTCCTACCTATATTTATAGAATTCTAAACGCAAGCATTCTAGTTTTAGATGCAAATTTTGACATATTCTTCTCATTGTAAAAATAACTCAAAGTATGTCAAAAATAATTTTCAGCTTAATCAAACAAAATTAGACAGGTGCTTTATCTATGGCAAAAATATCATGCGGATCAGTGGTACCATAATCAAGAACCAGAAATGGTCAAAGACGAGCAGATGGTTTTTGTTCTCGTTCTATTTCGTTACTACGTTTTTTTTTTGATGACATAGAATTGTGCATCTAACATATAGAAATGTGATGAATTTTAGTTTTTTGTGATCAACTTAAATTGATTGTTAACAAATTAGTCAATAATAACATTCAAATGAGTTTATTCTGTGCAAAATAATATCTCAAAAACAATTTTAATTGAGTTTTTGCTATAGAGTAAATGTTCTGATGTCTCTTATTTCAAAAATACATATTTTCAAATTTATATTCTTGATCATATTACTTCTTTGTATTCATCATCTTCAAGATACACACACGCACATTTTTCACTTCTCTTTTCTGGATAGACTAATCATATTCTCCTGTGTAAACAATGCGCCCTTTCTTCTTTAATGAAAATTGATGACTTCTCTTCACGATCATCATCATCTCGTTTCTTTTTTCTTTTTATTGCACATTTGCTCATATGGATGATGATGTAAGCGTACTATTTTGGTCTGTTTTAAAGAAAAAGAAAGACTTGATAAGTAATTCGCTCTGCATTTAGTTTCTCAATAAAGATAAAATCACTAATATTTGTCACATTGTACAACACAAGAAAAATAGCTCGATTTTGTTAAGCCTGGATCATATTTCAAAAGAGCCCACATGGATATATATATATATCAAAGAAGAACGACCTAAAGTTAGAATCATACTGAACCAAGTAGGAAAAAGCGAATTCCGTCTATCTATCGGGTGTCCCAGGAATAATGAGCCTCCCAGTATTTTTAAGATTTCCTGTCTATTATCACTGTAAGTAAAGCTGTCTTAATTATCAAAAGAAAGCGCTTAAAATTCTCTACAAAACNAGATCTCAAGTCCCTCTATCTAAATCAAACGTCAAAATCTAAATTTCATCGAGCTGGCAGATCATTTTCATGGGTTCTTTTGCATGCTTTTCGAATATGATTAGTTTTAAAAGGTTTTCGTCTTATACATTATCAGAGAAAAAGGCGTCCCAACTCCTCCTCTTTCGATTGACGAAAACCGCAGGTCGCTAGCTATTGCGGTTGTCGAGTTATTGAGCTTACACCCACCCCTATTTAATTCTGGCGCCGACAATAGTTGTTAGTGATTTAAATAAATTATTGATTCCAACTATAGCTTTATATGATACAGATTGTAATCCGAATATTATAGCTTATCCTAACCCAAGTAGAGGTGTAAGCCGAAGGGTCAAACGGCGGCGGCTGTTTTAATGGTCCAATTTTTTTCCATGGCGGCGGCGCCTACTAGACTCTATGCTTTTCTACACCGACGGTGGTGGCTACTATACTTTATGTTTTTCTGCACCGGCGGCGGCTTTGACAACCAAAAAAATTAAAAAAAAACGTTTTTGCTCCTAAAAATGTCAGTGGTGGCGGCGCATCGTACTATTATCAAAAATTTTCGTTCATGGCGGTGGCGTAACGGCTGGACTAATTTTTCACAGCGGCGGCGGCTAAAAAATTCGTAAAACTATCTCCGATTCCGTGGCGGTGGCGGCGACGCAGCTGAATGGCTTACACCTCTAATCCCAAGCAATGATGATATAACAAAATTAATTGAATTTTATTTGACATTATTTCAACAAGCTATGATAGCTGAAAAAGAAAAAAAAAGGCGAGAAAATATTCATTGAATCAATAAAAATAAAAATAAAATGGTTCATATTTGTTATTCATTCAGAAATAAAAATAAAAGTCAAATAATGATTGAAATTAAATTGAATAGTGAATGCCATATGTTGATGCTGTAGAGAAGTAGAAGAAAATCTTCATTTATCGCATGTTTTTATCAGAGTTTTAATGAAAATAGAAAAAAACGACAATGATTGTATTCAACTTAGAATACGAATAATTTGTATTCAAATGGAAAAAACTCTAAAAAAAAATAAAGAAGACTTTCCTGAGTGATAATTGCTATGAAATAACTTTTGATTTACAATAATCCTTATATTTGACATTGTTCTTTGGATTTATTTTATTTTATTGTTTCTTAATTATATTATAAATACTCTGTTACGTTGACATGATATATATATTGATCACAAACACAATCACATGATGGGTGAGAATATTTTGATCACCAAATTTTCCTACAATTCATTTCGCATTATCTTTCTCAATAAAAGTTGTGGATATGGAATTTTCTGATCATCCATTCACACCCACACTTACGCATACACGTCTTCACCCAGACCTACACCCGAACCCACAAACCTGCACCCAATAACTGTGATATTGTCAAGTGAATTGACCAAACGTAGCAGGATCCGGTCTAATTGTAAGGTTAACATTTTCAAAAAAGAAAAGAAATATGTACTTTTTCTACAGATTCACACAACCTAGTCACTAAGAATTGGGATCATAAATTAATTAGCTTCTCCATATACTGATTGCTTTTATCATACATAAATCTTTTTGATCGCTGAAAACAGTACTCTATATGAACAAGGCGTTAAATGAGTTCTGTAGAAGCATCCGAGAAAAGAAAATGAAAAATCGCAACTCGAAAAAAATTGGTGATCAAAAGTACTCTTTTCCAAGAAATTACACTTCCTTAGTATCGTTAATAGGCATAGTCATGTTGTTGTTTTACTCTATAAAAAGATCAAATTTTTTATCTCATTGTATATATAACATTCTATTTTCAGATGAAATAGAGACACAGGAAGTCTTAACAGGGGCTTTTTAATAACTTTTACCATTTTCTGTATGAAATGATTCCATTTCTTTTCCAAAAAAAAACTAAACTGAATATTAAAAATTGATTTTTAATAATAATCTCATGCGTGTTGTTTGTAAGGAATTATCAAATAAATTTGATCTTTCTGCGACGTATAAGATGCTATATTTTCTCTTACTATAAATTTCAAAAAGAAAAAAACTTAATGAGCATCGAATTGAATAAGAAACAATAGAACACGTTACAATCAGAATATGTAATGAAATATAATTATATCAATCTCTGTAAGTTGCTCGACTGAAATAAATATAATAATAGCTTTGCTATGATAAAATTAAAATAACTTTGGATAGTATTGTCTTCAATCATATTGCACTAGTGGCCTTGTCATTGTCAAGAATTTTTAAGTAAGAGGCAATTTTTCAGCCAAACCTATTTTGAGACGTAGACAGCAGTCACCATCTTAGACAGAGCCTATGGTCCATAGGCTATGGGCAATTACTATTGAATGATGAAGTGATTGTGACCATGACAAGCAGTTTCTGAGCAATTGTCTCATGGTCTATGGCTGGTCACACCTCTATACTGCACCAGAGAGTGGCGGGACACGGGTCCAATCCTGTCCCGTCCCGGGACGAGACTGGACGCGGAACAAAGAGTAAAAATAACCGTCCATGTAGTGCATTACAATAGCGATTGATTTTATGTCGTAAGAGCAGAAGAATGATCGTCATAGCGGATGCCCCTTATGTGAACAAACATTGATTCAGAAAACGAACAACAGTGACGGTCAATTCGATCGGAATGAGATGAGCTATGACTGACGGCTGAGACAATGACCATAATATAATTCGTCTGACATAGAAAATGTAACTCTAGAGAAAGTACTGAGTTCAGGGTACCCATGTACTGAGAAAGTCGTAGCAGAGTACCCAATTTGGGTACTTCGAAAATTCTCAGTAATTATACTGATGTAGGTACTGCATGGGGTACCCATAAAAGTACACTCACTGAACAAGTACTTGTATGGATACCTGCATCTATAATTTTACTGAGGAAAACTTTACAGGGTACCCTACATTTGTCGCGTTCTGCGTAGCAACTGTTCATTCACCGTTTTCTATTTCACGCACCGCTCCATATAAACAACTCGGCAAAGCATAAGAAAAACTAATCTATTTTCATACTAATTTTTTTCTAGATTATTTCTGGACTATCTCTTCGTTGAGAACATGCCGATCTTGATCGTAGATTAAGAGCGGACTACTCTGAAGTGGTCTGATGAACACCTGACCAACTCAAGTCCGGTCCGATCCCGGTATTCGATCTGCTTAGTTTTCTGAATTGAAAAAATTAAATTGAATAAAATCGAAAAAAATGTAATAAATCGCTTTGAAAGAAACAAAAATGAAAAAAGTCAAAGGTCAGGTTCGATCCTGAACATACTGAAATTTTGGTAACTGGGTACCTAGAAATACTGTACAATAGTACCCAATTGAGTATCTGATCAGTATCTTCAAGTACCCATTTACTGAATATTTTGTACTAGAGTACCCGATAAGATGCTTGAGTACCCAACAGATCCTGTGACATACTAGTAGCAGGGTACTTTTTTGGGTACTCTTAATTCAGTACATTCACTAGGGATGTATATATAATTATGTATGCGTATAATTGTTCATTTTGTCACATTTGTTAATCGTCAAAATTATTCTTTTCAATTCGTATTTGTACATCGTTGCAATCAATCTAAATTTTTAACTATTCTTGAATATTAAGGTTTCTATTCTTATATTCCAGCTTCTTGTGAATATGTGCGTGTACCAGAGATGGGCACGGGTTCGATTCACAACTTTTCAAACCGACCTCGGTTTCGAGAAAACACAAATCGAGTCCATCGAAAAACAGATTTTAAAATACATTTCTCAGCTTATTTTAAATTTCAGTTCAGTTCGGTTCGGTTCATTTTTCAAAAAACCCGAACAGTGCCCATCTCTGGTGTGTACATTTATTGTACTTAATTTCCTCATGCAGACATTTTTTGCTCGACAATATTTTTCTGTTGTGAAATAAATGAACATATATGTATGATATCCAGCTTTTGATGAAAAGATGCTTGCGGGATTAGCCGGGACGGGAGTCAGTCTGTGGACAAGCCCCCGCGGGCCTTGACGGGACAGTTTCTCATTGTCCCGTCAGTCTCTGTACTGCACTAACAGATAAAGAAATAAATCATTGTTAGCTGACGAAACTTAGTTAAAATTCTGTAACATATAGAAAAAAGTATGACATGGACTAGTGAACTCTAGTTTGACTGACGTAAAATTTAGGTCATTTTAAACGACCTAAAATTGTTCGACTTGTTTATCTTGATTTTATCATTGACCTTGAGAATGTTCTAGGTTTTTCATAAACTAGTGACATCTATATGTTTCGAGAAATATTAGCATAGATCCTAGGTCAACAATTATTTATAGATTAGAAAGTCCAAAATAAATAATATTGCATTCTTTATAATGTCATTCTCATTCATTGAAATACAATTCTATAGGATAAATGATTAACCTATTAGAATAAAAGTTGTGAAAGTGCAAAGTGAAATAAACTAAAGAAATGTCGACAACATCAACACATATTTCTGCATTTTAGATACATATTGCCTATTTTCACTGAAGCAGAGATGGAAGATTTACAAAATCTAGAATATCTCTCGCTTGTATCAAAAATTTGTACGGAACTGGACAATCATTTGGGTATTAATGATAAAGACTTGGCTGAATTTATAATACATATGGCTCAAGCAAGTGATTCATATGACGTATTTCAAAAGAAATTAGCAGAAAATGATGCTGATTTTCCTGATTCATTTAGTAGTAATCTTTATCGAATAGTTCAAAAAATGTTACCAACACCATTGAAAAAAACAACTTCTGAAAATCATAATGAAACAAAAAGTGATCAATCTCGACAATTAACTGATCTTTCATTACGTAGAGTAATGTGTCCATTCTTAAGTAAACCCAATGATCCATCAGTAAGAGTAAGTTAATTTAATTTAATTTTTTTTTTCTTTATATAAATTATATGTCTTTTTTAATAGACAATGCTTAATGAAGAAATGAAAGAAAATTCTACAAATGAAAAAGATAAACAAGTTGTTGATGATCTTATGGATGAATTAGCAAATCTTGGAGCTAAAGCTAAAGGTGATCAACCAATAAAACATGATGAAGATGAACATAAGAAAAAGAAAAAACAACATCGTCATCATTCACCTGATTCAAAAAATGACCGAAAAAAATCTAGGTATTACATTCTTATTCATATTTCATTTGAGAAAACTAGAATTTCGACAATATTATCAAACCTTCGCAATTGCTAAAATTCTCACGAGATTATGACAATAATAATTATGAATAGATATTTTAGGGTGTAGAATGTCAGTCTTCTCTTCAAACACATCCTCATTCTATTGAATGATGAAACGATGTGGATCAAAACATAAGAAAATCAAAGAGAAAAGTAAAAGACCTGTGTATATGAAGACTTTTGATCATGTAGTAACAATAGTTCACGAATTCGATATAATATTTATTAAGTTCTAACTAATTGAGTATGGTTCTATCTACTGTGAATATTGTCAAAATCTTAGTGGGGAAAATAGACAATAAAATATTCAGCAACAATTATTATTATTGTAATTCTGACAGTAGTGTTCAAACTACTAAGAAGGGAAAATTTCGAACATTTACTTCGCAAATTATGGTTATTTCATTTCTTAATTTTGAAAGAATTGGGCTTTTAAATTAACTCAACAATATTGTCAAAATTCCATAGAACCTTTCATTTTTTTTGTTTTGTTCGAAACTTATGTTTAAATTTTTTAGTCACAGAGATCGTAAACGTCATCGTCATTCTTCAACTGGCTCTCGTAGTAGTAGTCGAAGTAGTAGTGTTAGTGATCCTTCACCTTCACCAAAACATCATCGTTCATCAAAAAAATCTCGACATCATGATCGTAATGAATCTCCACCGCAACAAAAACGATCATTATCTATTCCAGATAAACCAATGCCTGGTTCAATTTATGATGGTACAGTTATTTCAATAATGCAATGGGGATGTTTTGTACGACTTGATCAATTTCGTAATCGAACAGAAGGACTTGTACATATATCAAGTGTAAGTAAATATTATCTTTTTTCTTCTTTTAAATTATATCATTTTATTATTTAGATTCATAAAGATCGAATAAATCATGTTTCTGATATTGTAAAACGTCATCAAAAAGTTAAAGTTAAAGTTCTTTCATGTACAGATGCTAAAATGAGTTTATCAATGAAAGATGTTGATCAAAAAACAGGTGAAGATTTAAATGAAGATTTAACAAGAAAATTACGTGGTGAAATAAATAATGAAATTGGTCGTAATCCAGATGGTCCTATTGATTATTTATCATCAAATCGTTTAAATTCACGTGATTCAACAATGATTCCATCTATAGAAATAAATTCAAAAGATAATAAAGGTAAAAGTTCCCGACAAATATCTGATTATGATCAATGGGAACTTAATCAAATGAGAAATGCTAAATGCATAGGTGTAACACAATTACCAAATTATGATGAAGAAACAGGTGTATTACCAAAAGAAGATGATTCTGATGGTGAAGATTTAGAAGTTGAATTAGTTGATGAAGAAGCACCATTTCTTAAAGGTTATGGTAAACAAAGTATACAAGATTTAAGTCCAGTTAAAATTGTTAAAAATCCGGATGGTTCATTACAACAAGCAGCTATGATGCAAAATGCTTTATCAAAAGAACGTCGTGAAATAAAACAACAACAACGTGAACAACAACAACGTAGTGAAACATTTCGTCCTAATGGAACAAATTATGATGATCCAATAACATCGGATACTACAACATCACCTGCATTAACACCAGCAGAAATCAATGCTAAAGCATCAGCTAATATGTCAGAATGGAAAAAATCTTTAATGAATAATAAAACAACATTTGGTAAACGAACAACAATGAGTATAATTGAACAACGACAAAGTTTACCAATATATAAATTAAAAGAACAATTACTTAAAGCTGTTAATGATAATCAAATACTTGTTGTTATTGGCGAAACAGGTTCAGGTAAAACAACACAAATAACACAATATTTAGCTGAAGCTGGTTATACATCACGTGGTCGTATAGCATGTACACAACCACGTCGTGTTGCTGCTATGTCTGTTGCAAAACGTGTTGCTGAAGAATTTGGTTGTCGTCTTGGACAAGAAGTTGGTTATACAATTCGATTTGAAGATTGTACATCACCTGAAACGAAAATTAAATATATGACTGATGGCATGTTATTACGTGAATGTTTAATTGATCCAGATATGAATCAATATTCTGTAGTTATGTTAGATGAAGCGCATGAACGTACTATTCATACTGATGTACTTTTTGGTTTAATGAAACAAGTAAGTCAAATGAATTTCATTATTCATATCATAATAAAATTCAGAAAATGTTTGAACTTACAAAGAAAACTCTGCAAGTGTTAAATATCTATTGAGTTTAAAAATCATTAGGCTATAATTTATCGATTATACTGATTTCAAATATTATTATGCCAGTATTTTTCGATCGTAGAATGATTATAAAAGTTGCTATATTCATAAATTTATCTCATTGATTATGAACTATATCAATAAACTTTGACATCACAAATACGGAAGGATGTTTGCTTTTGACAACCAAATGGATTATGATTCAATAAAAAGAAAACAAGCCAAATGGTTTGGGTACATAACTATAGTTGCATCTGATATAAGTCACAGGGTAAAGGGAAAAATTACTATCGTTACGATTATTATGATCGTTCTGTAATGGAAAAAAAGAATAGTTTTCTATATATAACTCGATTTGTTCTACATTCTGAAATCGATCAAAAATAATTTTTGTCTAAAAATATTTCATATCATAGACAGCTGTGCTCTTTTTCTGAAAAGCAATCTAGAAAGGTCTAACAACAATTGGCTTGATGATTATCGATAATTTATAGTCCAATGATTTTTAGTGTAAAAATGATTTCACAATTGAAGAGACTTCCAATTGAACGACAAGAAAATATCTTTCACAAGGTTAGAAGATCGTTAATAGCTTCATTCAAGAGACGTCTGATCTTTGATTAATGATGTCATCATCTTGATAATAATTGAATTCATATGGAATCATGTTCCTAGTGTTGATTTGACATTGAATAAAGGTTATAAATTTAGAGATGGTATCACTTAGAAACAAAAACGCCTTGATATTTTCTGTAGTTTATTTTTTTAAATTAAATCATACTTATAAATTATAATTTTAGGCTGTTAAAAAACGTTCTGAACTAAAACTAATTGTTACATCAGCTACACTTGATTCGGTCAAATTTTCTGAATATTTCTTCAAAGCAGTAAGTTATAGAAATTGTTTTAAATTGAATATATTAATTTATTTCATATAGCCAATTTTTACTATTCCCGGTCGAACATTTCCTGTTGAAGTACTTTATACAAAAGAACCTGAAACTGATTATCTTGATGCATCACTTATTACTGTTATGCAAATTCATTTAACTGAACCACCTGGTATGTATTATTATTGTTTAGAAAAAAAACATTTTTTTGAAATGTTTTTCTTTATTTTTATTCGTTAGGCGATATTTTGGTATTTTTAACGGGTCAAGAAGAAATTGATACCGCATGTGAAATTTTATTTGAACGAATGAAAACATTAGGTCCGGAAGTTCCAGAATTAATTATTTTACCAGTCTATTCAGCATTACCTAGTGAAATGCAAACAAAAATTTTTGATCCAGCACCACCTGGTTCACGAAAAGTATTGTAATCAATGAAAAAAAAAAAGAAACAATGTTTTTTTTTAAACATCTTTTTCAATAGGTTGTTATTGCAACAAATATTGCTGAAACATCATTAACAATTGATGGCATTTATTATGTTGTTGATCCAGGATTTGTTAAACAAAAAGTATTCAATCCAAAATCAGGCATGGACAGTCTTGTTGTAACACCAATTAGCCAAGTATGTTATCTTTTTTCCTTTCTGTGAAACACAATTTAAAAGAAATGTTGAAGTATATAAGATCACATACTATGTATCACTCATAATGAACGAACCTCTTTTGTTTCGTGCATTTCTAGAGGATTAAGTTAAAGTTGTGCGAACAAGTTTTTCTTTTTTTCTGAATAAAAAATGAAACGAATTTTATTTAGGCTCAAGGAAAACAACGTATGGGTCGTGCAGGTCGAACAGGTCCAGGAAAAGCTTATCGTTTATATACGGAACGAGCATATCGTGATGAAATGCTTTCAACTAATGTACCTGAAATTCAACGAACAAATTTAGCTAGTACAGTTTTAAGTTTAAAAGCTATGGGTATCAATGATTTATTATCATTTGATTTTATGGATCCACCACCATTAGAAACAATGATTATGGCTATGGAACAATTACATGCATTAAGTGCATTAGATGATGAAGGTCTTTTAACTAAACTAGGTCGTCGTATGGCAGAATTTCCATTGGAACCTCAATTATCAAAAATGTTAATTATGTCTGTTGAATTACGTTGTGCTGAAGAAGCATTAACTATTGTTTCAATGCTTTCTGTTCAAAATGTTTTCTATCGTCCTAAAGTATGATTTTATTTTTTTGTTTTTCTTTTTGATCTTTTAAATTATTTTATTGTTTTTGAATATAGGAAAAAGCAGAACAAGCTGATCAACGTAAAGCTCGTTTTCATCAAGCTGAAGGTGATCATTTAACATTACTTGCTGTTTATAATGCTTGGAAACAAAATAAATTTTCAAATTTATGGTGTTATGAAAATTTTGTACAACAACGTTCACTTAAACGTTCACAAGATATTCGAAAACAAATGTTAGGAATTATGGATCGACATAAACTTGATGTTCTAACATGTGGAAGACAAACTGGACTTGTTCAAAAAGCTATATGTTCTGGTTTCTTTCGTAATGCAGCTAAACGTGATCCACAAGAAGGTTATCGAACATTAGTCGATAGTCAAGTTGTTTATATTCATCCATCAAGTTCAATTTATCATCGACAACCAGAATGGTATGAATAAGAATTCTTTGTTTTTGTTTTTTAATTTTAATATATATTATTTAGGCTTTGTTATCATGAACTTGTATTTACAACAAAAGAATATATGCGTGAAGTTTGTGTTATTGATCCAAAATGGCTTGTTGAATATGCACCGAAATTTTTTAAATTTGGAGATTCAACAAGATTATCAAAGATGAAAAAAGAACAACGTGTCGAACCATTATTCAACAAATACGAAGAACCAAATTCATGGCGTATATCACGTCTTCGTCGACCTTATTACAATCCGGCTGGAAAATTCGGTTAAACAAAAGTTTTCTTTTTTTTCTTCATTATTGTTTTGTATATGCGAAATGCTCCATGTTTGTTTGTGTTTATTTATGGAAAAAAACAACAATATAATACATTATTCGTTTGAATAAAACCTTCAGCAGCTTTATTTAATTGATTATCAGGATAATAAAATCAGACAAAAAATTTTCTTTTTACTATTTTTCTATTAGAACATGTCATTTCGATTAAATACAAAGATACATACTCAAATTGGTTTGTTTATGCATTTATGTTAACATCATAAATACTCAATTTTTCAAATTGACAAAAAAAACACTTCCACTATCATTCATTTTGTATGAGTTTTCAAAAGATCATTGATTTAGCAAAAAGTTTCAAATCGATTTTTTCAACATTAACATTTGTCAACCTTAGTGATGTAACCAAACGGGGTCTAGAGAGATCTTAACCGCTATGTCGAGACGATCAGATGAACTGTTCCTTCCTCACGTCAACTTTTTACTGGTTACATCATTAATTTAAGTATTCACTAATATCCATAGGTCTTCATCATCTATGTTTCGAAACAAAGACGTATTATTTATGAATTACTTTTCTTCATAATTTTTTCGATATAAACATCTGAAAATGATTCGAAAACATCCAAAGATGTTTATGATCAATTAATAAAACGATTACAAACATGTCTAAAGCACTCAACATGCACTCATTAATATCCATAACAGGAAAAACAGCAATGCACGCACTTATTGATGCACAATTCGAAAAATTTGCTGTGTACTTTTATCTTGAAGATACCTTAAAAAGCAATAAAAAACGGATTTTTCTTCACAATAATAATCTGAAATTTCTAATTTAAAATGATCTGTCTTCATATTTATATATGATCATTCACCGGAGTGCTTCATATCACAATAAAAAAATTTCTCACGACTGAACTATTCGAACTGGTATTTGCCATTTGAGCCTATATTGGGTTCACACAGAGATTTTGTAAGACTAAAAATTTTAAAAGGCTTTGTGTCTATGGGCGTCTGATGCCTAGTTATGACCGTGTTAATGAGTTTTCGATTCAGCTTTAGATATTTACAGAAAAATCAAATAACATCATTTTGATCTGAAATTTCGTCCATAAACAGTTTGAACGACTGATAGAATATCCGAAAAATTTCAGCAGAAAGTAACTTTTCTTTTCTTTTTGTTGATATATTGAGTTTTGAAACTGACTCGAATTTTGTGGCAAACAGCTGTTCTTTAGAAATTTAATAGCTCGACAAAAAAAAACATCTTTTTCGATTAAAAATGTCAGGATATTCTACTAGTTATCCGACCTGTTTCGAGAGGCTCATGAACACGAACTGTTTTAGGACTTTTCTAGGCTTATCAAGACCTTCTTTGTAAATCCAATATAAGTTCAAACACACTGGGTATCAGTTTGAGTAGTTCCCTCGTCATAAAAATTAATCTACCACAGATCACAGTTTCTGTCAGGACGCTACCGACAGAATCGTTCAAGCAATGACATCCCATATATAGTTTTTCAGCAGGCTATGATTCACGATTATTTGCTTTTAAAAGGCATTTGAGATAAAACTAATTCAAAACTATTTCGAATTCCTTGTCAATGAAAGACTAACATCTGTTTGTGTGTATTGCTAAATATAAATTGAATAATTATTAGATATCGAATTAGGTCATCATTTTTTTTTTTCGAATTTATTCCGATTTGTTTGATTTTTGACGAATAATCATTTCAGTACGTTTTTGAAAGACCATCAAAAGTCTTCATAATCAAAGTTATACCGTCTTTTGGATTGATACTAAACGTTTTTAAATGTTTTCGAAATATTTTCATATGCTTACTGCAAACAAATTTTCAAGAAAAGTAATTCATGTATTCGTATGATAACATAGATTATAAAAGTCTATAAATATTAATGTATACTTATACCAGTGTTAGTATGTAAAAGATCGATTTGAAGCTCTTAATTAATTCAATAATGTTTTGAAAATTCAAACAAAGCAAATATTAGTATGCATATATCGTCTAGAAGTGGGTGTTAATGGTAATAGTTTTTGATCATTTGAAAAAGTTGAGTGTTTGTGTTATGTTTACATAAGTTATTAGTATTCTTCGAAATTTATTAGTTTTTTCTGTTTATTTCTATAAATGGAAGAGTTATTAAGCCAATTTACAAATTTTCAAGAATTACATTATTCAAGTTGATTATTGAAGCGAATTATTTTTGATAGTAGATCGTTGTCGATAACATTCTTGTAATTTAGATGGATCGAATCGTTCTTCATTTGAACGGACGAAACTGACTCCTGCTTGTATTAAATGATAAACAGTTTCTTCAAGATGATCATCACGCAATGTATGTACAGAAAAATGTTGAAGTATTGATAAAAAATCTGTATATGCTGATTGATCACGTTTGCCTGTGATAAGATCGTTTACAATTGATGTTAATTTCAATAAATCAATATCTTTAGTTGATATTTTCTTCATTCGGTTATTAATATGTCCTTTGGTTTCCATTTTATTTTCATCAACATCAGTGGTTAGTTGTGTTAATGGAAATAGTTTATTTTTTGCTTGTTCATTCTTACGTTCAAGAGAACGAATCGTTTGAGGAAATATATCTGGTCCATTGTTTGATGCTTTTCTATCAGACCAATCATCAATATCACATTGCCAACCAGCTGTCGAAACTTTTAAATTATCAATATCTGATTCAGTATCATTATTGTGTTCATGAGGTGCTTGTATTTGTGCACGAATACTATCGAGAAGTGGAATCGGTGGAGCAACGGAAGCGGGTACATTTTTCGACGTACCATTTTTTCTGCGTGATTTCGGCATTTTACTATTATCAAGTTCAATTATTTACATCTACAAAAAGATTTTCAGTAATTTTACAATTTCTCTATCGTCGTCAAGGAAATATTAGAAAAGCATAGGAACGTGTTTATAATGAAGATTTACGTCACATCAGTTATAATTGCAAAAATTCTTCAGAGTCAAAGAATTCAAGCATTTTAATTAAGTGTGATAGCATAAGACAAAATAATATCAAATGAAGATCGACTCTTGGTTTTATTTCAATAATGATCTGTTCCTTTAAACACGCACATACAACGATCAGTTGAACAGAAATAAAGCCATTGACAACACACACAAACAAAAAAAAAAGAAAGAATTTCTTTACACAATACACGCGCGTAACTATGGAATACAACGAAAAAAAAGAAAAAAAGCTGAAGCAAAATCAATATAGATCTAGTCTTCATCATTATTATTTTTCATTTCAGCTTCTCCGGGTATTGGTGATGAACGACTTTCATCATTATCATCTTGATCAATTTTTTCATTATTCAATTTATCAATATCGTTTTTCTTTCCTTCTTTTTTGTTATCATCATCTTTGGATGGTGATCGAGATGTGCGATCATGATTTTTTTCAACCGGTGTTGATGAACGTTCGCGTGATGAACTAAAGAAAATGATTCATTTTAAATTTAGAAAAAATTCACTTTACCTTCGTTGACGAGATCTTTTAATTTAAAAAACAAAATGAAACAAAAATTTATATTTTCTTTTAAATGATATTAATTCTTACTTTTTTTCTACCGGTGATCGACTTGATGATGAACGATGTTTACGTTTACTTTCTTTTTTTGAACGTGATCGAGAACGACGATGTCGTCGTGATGATCGACGTTCTTCTTTTGATGATGAACGAGATCTAAATAAAATTCCATGATCGTTTTCTTCAAAGTTAACATATATCTTACCGTGAACGGCTTGGTGAACGTCGTCGATCACGTCGTCCTGTTCGTCGATCATCATCATCTCGTTTTGAATCTGGTGATCTAAATACACATTATATTTTTATTTGAATTTTCTTATTTGTTTTTGTTTTTTGTTTTTTTTTTCATTTTCAAAACAACCAACGACATTTAAGAAAAAAGACATATCATCTTTATAATTCTATGAATATATTGCATGTTCATGCCACCGCACAATGTTTTGTCAAAGACTTTGAAATAAAATTACTCACTGTTTGAAGAGAAGAATACGCAGAGGAGAACTTCAGATTAGGAGATCAGCTGGCTGAAAAGTATCTGTAGAAATGCCGCTGTATACATGTGTAGAAATACGATCAGAATAGATGAACATGAACAACTGAGATGATGATCATGGATGAACATAGGCAGCAACAACGCTGAACAATAGGACATAAATAAATGGGATTAACAAGAGAGAAAACAAAAACAAATTTTAATTTGGAAAAATAAATAAGAATTTCTGCTTCTTTTTTTTTTTGTTCCTTTACTCTTAACGAAATGTAAGTCATTAGAAAAATATTAAACTATAGCTGAAGTAATGAAAAAAAAATCGTTTTTTCTTGTATAAGAAAATTTACTTACCGATAGCCAGGTGATCTTTGGCGTAAATAACCACGCCCAAATGATCCACCTTTTTTACCTCCTGTTGGTCGAGCATGTTCAACACGAACACGACGTCCACAAATAGTTCTAAATTAAAAATAAAAGACATTTAATTTCGAGATGAAAAAATTCTTCTATTTGTTTTTTCTTTTTACCGTCCATCAAGTTCTTCAACAGCACGTTCAGCATCATCAGCATGTTTATAAACAATAAAAGCAAAACCTGGTGGATTACGTGCTACCCAACAATCAACAAGTAGACCAAATGCATCAAATTCTCTTTCTAATTCAAATTTATTCGTACGACTTCCTAGAAGTGAAATTACATCATTTGCTGTTTTTTATTTTTGTGATTTAATAACTTACCAAGATCACCACAAAATACTCGATAGCCTCCAAAATTTCTATCATATTGTGGACCACCCATATTTTAAACTTAAATTTTGTATCTAATAAATGTCACTAATTGACTATTCGGTGTCCAAAGAGAATTCTGAAACAGAGAAATAATGACTAGCATGAATACATATATATTACTCAATAAGAATGAATAATGTTTTTTTTTTTTGTTCGACTAGACAGACATATTCTTTCTTCGTACGTCCGTCGGTGTATTTGTCAAGTATATTTTTTTAAGTTATTAATGCATTTCATAACCGGTAGTTTTCATTCGTTGGCTTCTTATCGAATAAAAGATCTTGTTGTTATATCTATCTATCTGTCTCTCTCTCTCTATTTGTTTGATGTCAGATTCTAGATGACTCATACTTCGTTAACAGACTAATTTAGTTATGCATTTGATTCATAGCTTTTGAAGTAATAAGTCTTATGCTAGAATTTAGATACGATAAAAATCTAAATTTAGTTTCAAATCGAAGAAGACACTCATTGTTAATAGCAAGTTTTTGTCTACATGTACTTTCAAGTGAAAATATCTTGTTTGTGCTGCTTTCTAGAATTTGAAATCAAGTAATTATTAACGAAATGACAAGTATATGTCGATGCTCCTAATGAGCATATAATAGCTATGCTTCTTTATTCATTTTTCGACTGTTTCATTTAAAAATATTCTTAGTTTATTAATTGCTTCTGAATTTCATATAGATGTCGTTGGTAGTAAGTAGATCTGCTAATATTTGTAAGGAAGAAATGTGTTGTAATTCCTATGACAGTATATCATAATATTGATCACAATTTTTTTGTTTTTTTTAAAGATGGCATATCGAAATGAAAATGGTTTTATTCGTCCAACAAACACGACGGTAACAGCAACCACGACTGGAACAACTACAGGAGATAATGATCGAAGTGTAAATTGAGAAGCAAAAAAAAAATTTTTGGTTATTGTATTTTTTTTTCAAGCTTTTGGATAAACGTGCTATTCAAGAATTAATTAAACAAGTTGATCCAATGATGCAAATAGATGAAGAAGTTGAAGACGTATATAATTTTCAATAATCAATTATTCTTGCTTTAATTTATTTTTGTTTTGTCTAGATGTTAATTCAAATAGCAGAAGAATTTGTTGATTCAACATTAACTGCTTCATGTCAAAATGCCAAACATAGAAAATCAAATACTGTTGAAACAAAAGATGTACAATTGTATCTTGGTATGAAGATAAAATTGATAACTCAATTTAAAATATTATCTTTTCTTTAGAACGAACATATAGTATGTGGATTCCAGGTTTTGGTACAGAAGATCCAAAACAATATAAAAAAATTTTAACAAATGATGCACTTAAGGCAGTAATTTATAGTAGTATAAAACATGTTTTATTTATTGATGTTTATATTTTAGTTTTTAAAAGCTCCATATGTATCGTCAACAGCAAATGCTAAATCATCAAATGCAAAACAACAACCGTCTTAATCTAGTTAATTATGGAAATGCATATTTCTTTTTCGCTTTCCAGTGTTTATATTTGTTAAGAATGAAATAAAATCATGTATATAATCTATATCCGTTTATTTTCATTGATAAAAATGATAAACTATTTTTTTAAAATGAGCATATGTTTTTTCGATATTGATAATGATATTCTATATAAAAGAAAACAAAACAGATTGTATCTTGATTAAGCGTATGTTAGACTTTCAAGTTGTTTGAAAATAAAATCTAACTAGTTTTTATTAATAAATTGATCAAAAATATTCGAAAATTCACAAAAAACAATAGTATGAACGATTAGATAATGTCGAATAAGATAAATAAAACTATTTCGGATCATAATTTTTTCTTTAGTTTTGAGTGAAATATAAGAATCAAGTTTACAACTAGTTTTTATATGATGTTATTGTTTTAATTCTCTCATGGTGTGTATTTAATTGTCTTGCTAAGCATAAGCGTAACTCAGCACTGGAAAAACGGGAAAGATAATGCAGAGTGATTGAGAATCAGAATAAAAGTGGTGTGAGGTACACAATTATTGAAGCTAGAGGGTCGTCACGCTTCTGTTTAGAAGCTTTGTTTAGTCAAACCTTTGTTTTTCATTGTCACATTAGTTAAAATATGAATTGAGATATGTTGTTTGTTTATGAATTGTGTGGGATGCATAATGTTTTTATTAGATCGATAATCATTATTAAGTTAAGTAAAGAATCTAAACAGATAATTTAAAAATATATTCATGGAAGAAATTTGTTGATTTAATTGTTTAATAAATAGTTTTATTTATTTTCACTTTAGATTTCATATATTTATACTGTATTTGTGATGAATATCGTAGCTATCAAAATAACTCTCTCTTCTGTTATCTTCTTTTTGACATTTTTATTTTCAACAATACCTATTAGTCTTTTTTCATGGATCAAAAATCGTAACAAATCAAATTCTATTCGATCAAACTTTTCATTATGTTCTTTAAAAACATTTATAAATTGTATAACTTGTTTTGGTGGTGGAATTTTTCTTGGTATATGTTTACTTGATTTATTACCCGAAGTTATTCATCATGTTGATACAACAATTAAAAATGAATTTCAATATGATAATCAAACATTGAGACATTATCCAATTGCTGAATTCTTAATTGGTTGTGGAATTTTTTTAGTTTTATCTATTGAACAAATAATTTTATCATTTCGTACAGTTTCAATACATTCAATAGCACATATGAATAAAAAACCACCAATAATAATGTCACATGAAGATGATGAAACATCATTAACAACTATAGATGATCACGATCCATTAATGAATAAGAATTTAACTATTGAACATCATTTTGAAATAAGTGAACATAAAGATGATATAGTAACAAATAAAAATCGCTTATTAATAACAAGAAATTTTATTTTAGTATTTTCTTTAATTATTCATTCAATATTTGAAGGTATTACACTTGCTTCAACTAATGAATATAATACATTTATTGAATTATTTGTGGCTATTATTATTCATAAATCAATAATTTCATTTAGTGTTGGATTAAAATTAATGTATATGAAAAATAAACGTTTAGTTTATTTTGGTTGTTTTTTAATTTCAATTGCAACACCTATTGGAATGTATTTTGTAATTAGTATGCAAGAATTATTACCAGAAAATCGTACAGCAAAAATATTTAATGAAATTTTACGTGCATTTGCATGTGGAACATTTTTTTATATTACATTTTTTGATGTTTTACCAAATGAATTAAATATGTCTACGAATCATCGACATAATTCATCAAATATTCCAAATCGGTGTCGTATTGTAAAAGTTATTTGTGTATTTATTGGCTTTAGTTTTATTGGCTTATTATCGTTTGTGATGAAATAAATCTCATATTTATATATATATCTTTGCATATTTTTTTAATACAATGACTTATTATCATTTGAGTTTTCGATGACATACGACAAGAAAAACTAAATAGATATTATAGTTTGAACAGTATCTGTTTAGTCATATTAATTCCATAGATTAAAGATTTTTGTGATTTATTTATTTAATAATATTGTGAAAACTTTGCATGATTTTTTTGTGATTGAACAAAATAAAGGTGATACTTAATCTTTTTTCCCTTAATTATTATCTTCTATGAAATGACAGAGAGCAACAAGATAACGCAATAATTTCAAAAAATATTAAAAAACTAATTCTTATGTAAAATGAAAGCTATTGTGAGTAACATTGATCAGTATTGAACATGTACAGTTACAAAGACTTTGTTATGTCGAATGCTAACTTTTTCTACAATTTTTTTATGAGATAAAATAAAAACTAAATCTTATCCAGAACAATAAATTTAATAAAACAAACTTTATTTGTTCATTATTTTTTTGTGAATACAATCAATAATCAATTTGATAACCATTTGTATCGTTTACTGCACACAAAACATTCTTTATATATTTTCATATCTCACATTGATATTAAGGTATGTTATCGAAACAAAATCAAATAATGATCTCGTATTGTAATATGTCATGGATTTTATTTGCATTTTCTACCTTTTAAAGCATATACTGTACACAAACATTCGAGACAATCAAGCGAATATAATGTGCAAAGCTGATTCACTACATAGCTATTTGATAATGTTCATATATGATGATCATTTAATCAGAGCACGAAACTTATGAATTAGTTCACGTAAATCACCATCAATTCTGTTAAACCAGAGACCAAAAATTTTTCCATACAAGGAAAATCCAACAAAAAAAGAGATTGTATTCTACTACAGCTCTATACAAGTCTTAAAAGATTTCATTGAAAACTTGTTCGAAACATACTTTTACTTTTGTAGGATGATTTACAACACGACTAAAAATCTCGATCTATATCAAAAATATCAGGCGCTAGATGATTCATCGATAGACGCTAAGAGCAAGAAAACTTATGCAAGTTAATAGTGACAAGCACAATAATGAGATATAAGTTTCATACATTTTTACTTTAGTGTTTGAGAGACAGGTATCCCTAAGCGAGGACTTTATTTTACTATCACAGGATGAGAAAATAAAATGATGACTCATGTCAGTATATTGGCCAGTCCTATTAGGACTGACCGTTTAGACCGGTACCCTTAAGTGAAAAGCCTTACCAGTTGCAATTCTAGTTCGATTTATTGTAAGTTTTTCTTTCAATATGTCTTACCGTGCTAACGAGGGAACATCTCCAACTTTAGAATGCCGTTTGATTCTATATTTTGATTATGAATGGATCTCTACCAGACTATGAAAACTCTAAAATGGTTTATCTCTGCGACCCTCCCGTGGACAAAGATTTGAAATGCCTTGCACATCAAGAAAAATCAATTTTCATTTTTTCCTCAAATTTTTCTCCATTGTACTGAGGTCTAAAGTCCTGAAATTTTAAACATATATTCTTCATGCCATTTTTTACAAGCTTTATTCATTTCTGAATATTGTATGAATGCACATTTTCAGCCACTAGAGACGAATACGATCAATTTCGCTTCGATCAGCAAATTATTCAAAAAAATCTATGGCATTTGTACAGCTTCCACAGATGGTGAAAATATTTCGAATTTCCCATGAGAATTATCGTTTCCTAATGAATGCAATCAGAAAACGAAAAATTTATTTTTACATTTTGATTTTTTGCGATATTTATAGCGTTGGTATTGCTCACTCTATAAAAAATAGTGCTTGAATGAGCTTAGTTTTGAACAAGTTATCTATATTTTGTAATTGTACTACTAGTAGGTATTCGATAATACTATTTCTGAGGATCAGAAATATTGCATGCCTTTTCCCAGGATTTTTCGAAGCTCAGATGTAATCTAGTTTATTATTTGAAACAATATCACAAGAATAAACAAACGAGTTCTATGAGTTCCATAGCTGAGTTATTCATCTTTTCTACTCTTGATCACATGCTCAACGGTTTGCTTGCCATTTCTACTATATGCATTTTCTTTTGTTATAGACAATTATAATCGACGTCGAGACATGATTAAGAAAATGAAAATGAAAATGCAAAAACAAAAGGACATTACTTTGCGAATAAAATTGACGACGAAGACATTCTTACTTTCAATACCATTCATTTTCGAATTTTGATGTTCGTTATCTTTCAAATATCAGTTGTGACAGTATCTTTTTACTATGACATAAGATTCTGAAGGGTTAAGCCTATTTTTATTAGTGTCGTGAGATAAAAACGATATCAAACAGCAAACTATGACGATCTACGTGGTAAGTATTTTGCACGAGCAGTTGAATATCATAGTTCTAAGCTTTCGCTCAAAAAGTGAGAAGTTTTCGTAAATTAGTAACTCTAATCGATCACGATAAAAGAGGTTTAATACACAAACTCGTCTAATTATGTTATGTTGTCTAATTACAACTACTTCTTTTCCGTTTCTACCTTGTGTCCCAACGTGTTTGCACACGTTTTATGTTGCATATATATATATATATCTCAGCATGGATAAATGATAAAAACTTTGATATGTTTTAAAGATGCGCGTGCGATAGCTCTACCGAATCTATATAAAGAAATCTCTATTGACTTTCTCTTCTGATTTCCTTCTATATGGGTGTGGGTGTAGAGCCTCTTCAGTAATGTACTCACACACATCCATGCTAACACCAATATGCTACACTCATATTCCATGCTTACACGCTCACTCCCTCGTTCCTGAGAAAATTCAAAATCGAATGATCACGAAATCACTTTGCCTAAACAGAGTTGAATACTAAACGACTATATTAAAACGAAACTGATTATCTTGATACCCGTACAGTCAAATTTTATCGTAGTCCCAATATAAGAAGTAGCTGAAGCACATTATTCTTTGTGCTTGTGAACTAGATAATTATTTTATATTTTGTTTTTCGTTCAATTTATGATTTTCATTCTTCTTCTAAACTTTAAATCATTTTTAGTCATAGCTGTAAGCTTTGATCAACATGAATAAGTTATTGAAGAAAGAAAATATTTAAAGAAATAAATTTTTTTCTATTCAGCATGTAGAAATAGATGTTGTACCAGCTTTTCTTACTATTACCGAATCCAATATATAAGCGATAACCATTCCAACTATTACTGATGCACGAATGCTGTCGATCATATAAAACAAATGTTTTTTGACTGAAAGAAAGAAAAGCTGGTTACCAATTCATTGAAAATAGGAATTGAGGAGTTTCTCTGTCAAAAAAACAAGATACAATTTTGCGATGTTTTATTTTCATAGCAAAATCATTTTTTAGCAAAAAAACTAGTATTTTATGTTCTACAGAACGTAAATTATCCATATCAAGCGAGGGTGTGAGTGTGACTTGTTCTCCGACACCCATACCCGCACCCACATCTCACACTCACGCCTACACAATGTTGGAAAGCAACTGTAGTCTACACGACACTTTTCATTCAAGCCATTTAGTATTAGTTCTATAATGATATATCAGCTTCTTTCAAGCTGATGTAACTTGAGATGAATAGAGCAAATTATCTTGTGCATATAGATAAATTTTAAAGAATAATTCTATTTTTTTACGGTCGTTATGCGGAACAAGAGTTGGACGACAAACAACTATCATGTGATTAGTTTATCAATAATATGCAGTTTTCATCATCAAAACCAAACTGTTTCATTTTCTAAATATGATATTTGTGACTAGCATGAAAACCTGTGACCTACTGCATGTAATATGGCAGAATTTGAAAAGAAAAACCTTTTTTTAGATATCGTGGGGCGGGAAGGAGATTCCACAGGGATCGAAGAGATCGTATCAAGATAGCGCAAAAGTAAGTCGGAGGAAATACAGCTAATAATCCTCTGATACAATTCCGATCGAAAAAAGGAAAACTACTGAGGACAGAAAGCGGCCACATGAAGACAAATCCTTAAAAAATTGCTTTCTTGTAGATTTGAAAAAGAAACGTGCGGAAATAGATGCCACTATCATATTGTTTTCATAAAAAAGGGATATGTTTTTGACTTACATAGCCGTATATATGAATTATCACTTAATCTGTATACATCAATTGTGTGCTCTTGTTGAACAGTTGTTGAGCGTAGAACTTGTTTTTGTTGTTCAGTTGTTGTATTTGTATGGTGTGGGGTGTAGGTGTGGGTGTGGATCTTCTCTAATGCACACCCACACCCACACCCTCAGATGCCCCCGTATCATCTCTATCGACTGATGAAAACCGCAGCTCTATACCTCTTATTGTTCTTGAGTTATTGCAAAAGCAGTGGAGCGCACTATATTTTGAAACGGGCAATAGTTCAGATTGAGATTTTGATTTGAACTAGGGGAAAATTGAAATTTTAATCTGAACTAGCTGATATTGAAACGGTTGCGAAGTCAACTACTTCAGGTTAAAATTCGAAGCAATAAGTACGATTTTTATGTAATTGTGAAGAAGGAAATGTCACTTAGAGATGATAGGAAGAGTCCTGATCAATTGAAAATGTCTATTGAATAGGTTTCAGAGTATATCTAGTTCATATTAAGGATAACATCTGTATCACTAATTGTTAAGCTACCATTGCGTCCGAATGTACATGTTGAAACGCTAGATGCCAAAAAGAGAGATATCTCTGATAAAGATCACAACATACAAAGAAGTACTGTAAGTTTTAACAACGGAGTGCGAGTGTGAGTGCTGATATCATCCATCTCTTTCATCCGCACACCGGAGCCCCAAAGAGATCACTAGACCTGCCTGGCTTCTTTATTTTTTCTTCGATATGAAATTTTTATTTCATAAATTGAATTTATTTCTAAAAGGCAGATTCACTTGAGTTAATTTCACAGGATGCCATTTAAATATAATGAATTAAATAAATACTGGAGAATAAA